ATCCCAACTTCGCCTCATTTCCACTTCGCCCCATCCCCACTTCACCCCATCTCCCCTTTGCCCCATGCCCACTTCGCCCTGTCCATGCTCGAGTGTGTTACAAGCACAAGCCTCCTCAAAAAAATGTTATTCCAAAACCCCACAGCGTTGCGACGCCATGTAAAGCTTGTCTCCCCTAAGTCACAGGAGTATGACGGAGTAGTCAGGTAGTGATTTACCGTAGGGTTCTCAAAGTAGGCCTAGGTACATGTACATGTAGTGACAAGCACTGATGACATGGTTGACCATGTGTTGACACCTGGTGCCAACTACAGTGTACAGTACAAAGGCAGCTGATCAGGATAGCAATACTGAGTGGAGCGTTAGTCTTTTTTTTTAATTTTAGACTGGATCGCTAGTACAGTATGACCAATTCAGTCTAATATTCGAAAAAGACGAATACAAACGCTCCACTCAGCATGATTAATGAACATATCTGGATCATCGCTAGTCCGATAGCCTATTTAACAGGTGATCAAGCCTAGGCCTAATCGCAACAGGGTCGGCAGCGTACATTAGATTCACGAATACATAGTACATACCGGTACCACATGCAAGTCTGCAAGTGGAGTCTCACAGGTCACAACTTTTAGACCGCTGCAAGAGAATCTGATCACGAAGAACCCAGGCCAGACAAGCAACAAGTTCAAGTCATGGAGCTCGGAAAGCCAGCTTTTTGATGAAGGCGCTGTACCGGTACGGCCTGCGGTAGGCGCGGCGTAAACGTACCACGCGCACGGGACTCGATTCCGGCTCCTGGATCCTCCTTGTTTTGTCTGTACAATGCCACAGAGGGCGCTCTTTCGGTATAGCGAACGAACACACGGGGCTCTCGTTTCGAGCGGGGAAACTAAAATACGTTACAGCTCCCATGTGCTATATAATACCAGCGGCATGTTATACAAGTCTCGATTTAACGGGGTACGTGAGTAGGATTTACGGGGGGGGGGGGGTCGTTGTTACATATTCAGATTCCTTCTTAGGTTGGAGAATAGGGGACCCACTGTGGAGGGAAAAGGCAATGACAGACATTGAACCCCATATTGATAAAAATATAAAGTTTACAGCCAGGCCTAGGTGTCCACAAAACGTCAGCTCTCCTACTGATGGCTATGACTATGTAAATCTTTAGTTTTAACTTTTATAAAAATGATGCAAATGGAAAGACTTAACTTTAAAGACCAGACCTTTTGGGCCAGAGATCCCAAATCTGGCAAAAACCTGAGAAATCACACCCTTGCAAATATGAGAAGGTGGATCCAGACCAAATATTTCAGAGGCCAATTTTTGGGAAGGGGGAATACAATTATGGAAATTTTGTAATCTTTTATGGCCTTTCTATGGGTCGAGAATCCAGTGACTTCTTTCAGTTACACTAAAATTGTTGGACCCAGAGATCAGTTCCTTCAGTCTTCACTTTTAAACTCTCAACCCTTCCCACATCCCGACAAGATGATCTTATTGTTCAGCAAACTGATCAACAACCAACACAGTCAAATTAAACTAACGTTACAGAGCAAAACCTTCTGTAAAATTGTCAAGACGACCGGCTGATTTTATTCCACTGGGGTGCAAAGTATACCATGATTATGTTATTTTGGGTACACCAATAGAGGGTTTTACATGTACGCAACTCTTTTTCTACTTGCCACATTGTGGTCATGCAGGTCTGTTTCAGCCAAGTTCTCCTGGCCATTAAAATGGACAGCCTACATGAAACAACAACATATCAGGAATATACATGTACAAAGGGTTTGTGTACAGATGAACAATCTTCCAATTTTCAATTTACAAAAAACATTCAAAGCAAATAAAATTTTAAAAAACAGAATGAACAGCCTCAAGTACTGAGGAGCCTGCTTCATTACACAAAACATGGCATGCGGGGAAGTAATGTGAAATGACTAGTTTGATATCAGATGTTACAGTTAGTGAAGTTTGACCATCCCTTGACACGAATGTGAAGAGGCTCAACAATAAATGACAGCGAGGGACCAGTAACATTGCAACTCCTCTCCAAAATAAACTTTGTGGTATTTGTTTTAAGCTTCCCTATATTTTAGTCTGATATCTAGCTGCAAGTATGTTGAAAGGGTAAGGAGTTGAGTTCTCATGGGCCACAAAAAAGGTTGACCAATGTTACATTTGCCAATGCTTCATTAGACAGTTTCGGACACAATAAGAATGGTCTTTGAGACTTGGATCTTTCAGCATACACACGTGTATGTCACGAAAGTTGCGTATTTCTGCTGGTGGTGACAACTGGAGGCAAGCCACGGACACATTTGCAATCCCCCACGACATTTTTTTTTTTACTGAAGTTTTTCAGTCAATGTAGACAGCTCCGCCCTTGCCAATTCAATGCAGGACAGTGGACTGCAGAAAAACAAATGTCAGGGCCAACAGACGGCAGAAACACGAACACATTAACACACGTATTTACAATTGGTACAAATATATACAAAAAGCTAATTCTCAAGAAATGATACGAAGTCGGTGAGCTGTGCTATGTGCTGCTCGCTGGGAATTGCCTGGTCCATCTGAGCAACTGTGGGGAATGAAGGAAAGGTCAAGAAAAATCTTATTTTTGTAAAGTTGCTTGAATTCAAAATCACAATATGTCTGTATCCTGGACTTGACATTTGTTTTAAGTTCCAAATCTGCAGTAGAGCGTTGCCCAGAAATCATTTTGATTATTTTACATACCACACAGTTCCCAAGCATGAACGTTGCAGTTTCACCCTTCATTTGGGGGCCTGCATTTACATTCACACTGTAGGTACGCTACTCTGCATTCCTTCCAATTAGTTTTCAGTCCCCCCCCCGAAGGTTTTCCCATTCACAAGCTAGTTTTGCCGAATATTGGGCATACCATACAAGGTTCATCACTTCTATAATTGGCCATTGGGTTATTGTATTATACAGTCTCTCTGAAACAAAAAAACTCATGCTATGTGAGATCTAACAATTGTTGACCTCTGTGGTGTGGGATATGATGTTTTGAACACCCGAGGGATGCATAGCGCCTAGAGGCAAAGCTGAGGGTGCTATGCATGCCCGAGGGTGTTCAAAACGTCACATCCCACTCCATAGTGGTCAACAATTGTTTTGTCATACCTCTGTCTTTAATTTATCCAAAGAAATAAGCTCTGAATTTCAGAAGATGATAGGCCTACATGTACTGTCAAACTGTATGATTAACCTATAAACAGACGTAAATGATATCATCTGCAATTACACTGTTTCCTCACTTCTTTTAATTGCATAAGCTTTAATGTGAAACTTGTGTGGGTACTAGTGAGTACATGTAGTCTGGTTAGCGGTCCCCACACTACCTTTTACGCTGCAGGGACGGGAAAGAGGCTGTTATACGAGTGTGATCATTGGTTGAATTCCCTGGTAGCCTATGCACAAAACGTATCATAGGTACCATGCAAAACTGACTGAAGGAGTGGAAATGTTCACTCTCGAACTTGCCAAAGCCCTTCTGACTCGTACGCGTGCACGCACTATCAGCAGAAAGATATATCTCATGGTGAGTGTGATGCGGATATATCACCTGTCATGTGATCATTCTTGGCCAATAAACGAACAGTATCCAAGACAGAGGTATGACACAGTGTAGCCTTGCCCACGGTACACGTAAAGTAACCTTGAGAATAAACCTTGCCGAACATTGATTTGTGTACACAAGTGACATTCCCTGTTGTCTTTCTGGCATACATACCTGGCTTTTGGGGTGAAATCATCTTGTTTTCGGCATTGTACTGCCAACCCTCTGACTTCACAGCTGTGTTTGAGTCAGAAGAAACAAGGGTTTGATTTGATTTCAAAAAATCAGACCAAAAAAATGAAGAGAAATCGATACTGAAATCTAATGATAGTTTTGACAGCTCATTACTAAGAAATAAAACTAATCTTCCTGGAATTAGCATACCTTATCATTTGCTATAACACTACCGTCTTCTGCAACAACACTTTCAACTGCCTACCATGGTAGAAAAGAATATGTCCACAGCCAATATGACGATTAACAGATTTAGGGTAAGATAAATCCTGGCTGATAGCATTCAGATCAATAGCATTTTGCCACACGATTTGACATTTTGTGTTGTGTTGTGGCTGATAGCACCCCAAAAAAAAAAAAAACCAAAGAAAAAAGTAGAAAATTCAAATTGGCCCAATCGTTCACTTCACTGTCCCCAACCTTAACCTATGTGGCCGTCAGCAACATTGATTTCTTCCATTTATGACCTGACCTAACAAAATGAATTTAAGTAACCTGAGGCAGTTCTGAGCTAAAGGCTTTCAGAGGAAACGTAGCACATGAACCCTAAATGTTTTTACCCACCCAATGTCCATTTTCATCAAGATGGTAAACTAAGTGATACATCAAAACAAAGAGCTCAATTTACTCGTCAGTGTGAATACAAAAAAGAAAAAATTGCTGAAACTTGCCTTAAGACTCATTTTGTGGGATCCGGACATGTATTAAAAAACAACTTCAAAACCTAAAAAACAATAAACTCTTTCCAAGAATAATACCCTTTGTGCTTTTGTGCCCCGTAGATAGCAGTTTTTGTCTCAGACAATGAAGAAATGTTGAACTTTAAAGAATGGCAAAAAATTTAAAATTGTTTTCACAGCATCCGGCATTGATTGGACGCCAAACGAAGCTGGATTTGAGCTTGGGCCCCTGAGAAGGTGAGGCAAGTACCAACGCACCAACCAACCTGATTGATTGAAATGCTAACCTGCAATAGCCTGGTCTACGGGCAGGCCGACATATGCTGCAAACTCATCTGCTTCTATCGACGTGTAGCCTTGGCTTATCAGGTGGAACATTCTCTGCCTGATATTCTCTGCGAGGAAATGAGAAACCAACTATGTAAACTATAGCACCAGGTTTCACCCGAACAGTACATCTCTGACTGAAGATATGCTAATGACAACTGCTTCAGAAATTAATTGGTCAGCAGTGGCAAGGGCAAATGTGTACATTACACATTTGTCCTTGCCACTGAAGACAAAACTCAATCCTGGCTAATTCATGCAATTTATACCCGGGGTGAAGGGCCAATGACATGGCCCTTGAACAGCATTCTATTCAGACAGATTAAAAAGGCCTTAAGAAAACTGACAAGAAAGCTAAAAAAAGTAGAAGCGAAGAAGCTCACACAGATCTAAGGTGAGACTGAACACATCAACTAATGTGGGAAGATGCCATTATTGCAGTGGCATCCCACTCGCATGAAAATCAACTTGTATTGAAAGCATGCATGCCTTCGAGGAATGAGAATGGCCCCGTAGCAGTAATGGCTTCAAGTAATTCTGGTTGAGGGACAATGCACTGACCTGTGATAGCCTCCATGATAGGCTTGACTGCCTCCGACCACTCCCTGCCCAGGGAGGTGTAGGTCGCTGGGAAGTTTCGCTGCCACATGCTCTGGCCAACCGCCCAGATCAGCCCCACCTCGGGGTTGGCCGTCTTGATGGGCTGGGGGATTCTCTTCCAAAGGAATTTGGCATTGTTCCTGGAATGCAGAGAGATTTGGGTATTCCAAACAGATTCTCTGAAAGCCCTCATCTTGAATTCTGGATCTCTGAAGAGACCAAGTATGGCACATGGACTTATAGACGTTGCTACAGACTCAGCGAGTACAGTGTTGCAGTTGAGTCTGTCATCAGTCCCTTTGTAAATCCTTCAGTAAGGCCAGTCGAAAGCATCAGGGTGTGATGCTGATTAAATAAAGTGTATGAATAAACGTACAGTTATTGGCGTAAATAGCCCGAGTTGCTGAAAGCGCCATTAAAATAAAACAACAACAACATCAGGGTGTGCAATGAAAAAGGAAACTTTTGCCATTGTTCATTTGAATAGCGTGTGACTGACTGGCTTGTGACTGACTGGCTTGTTATTGACCTGGACTTGAATTCAACACTGGCAACTGGTGACACAGGCAGATGCTGGGCTAATGACTCTTGTTGGCCCAATTCAATCAGTGACTTCATGTATGAGTATTTGTCAACAACTGGCCAATTTTGCCCAGTACCCAGGATATACTCTATGCATGGGCTACATGTGTACCAGGCAAAGTCAACCTGTAATTGACAAATAGTCCCTGATCGTACATGTACCTGGCTACTGTTGCTGTTGTGTGCACAGCACCCACATGGAAACCCTGTGCCCTGACCAGAAATGCATGGTGGCAATGATGTTTTTTAATTAAAAAAATGTGGGCAAAGTTCAAGGAATCTTTCCAGATTCTCACACCCCTTTTGGGGGGCCTCCTGTGTAGCAGGTACATGTATGTGATTTGCACAGCCACAGGAAAGCACAGGTACGTGAAGACCTACGCATTTGTGAACATGGATATAACTCGGTATGAGCCCCGAGCTCGACCAAGAGAGGGAGCAATTTTCCTGGCAATGGAGGCTCCTTTGGAAGGAACTACACTTCACTGATTCACAAACGACTATGAAATGCATGTGTAGTGGTAGCATGGGCTACCAACAAAAGTGAACACTCCCGACCAACATGGCTCTTTTTCAACCGATGAGGGGGTGCTTCTGCTCAAGACAGATACTTGGTGTTATATTCACATGAAGAAAGTGTCACCAGACAATGTGTAAGCACGACCTCTCTTCTTTGTACAAAGTCCATTATTAAGGAGTTATACAAAGCCCCTTGTAAAGTTCAAGGCTACTTCCTCAATTTTTAAGGATCAGGGTCGGGGTTGGGGATAATAGACCCATTCCATTTGACATCCACTATCAGCAATGTTATTGGTTTCTATTTGATAGGAATGGATGTACATGTAAACTTTGCCTTTTTTGCCAGGAACTTGAAGGGTCTGTACCATGCAATGCAATCCTTTCACTATTACCTTTGAAAATGCACCTTCATCTTTAAATTCACCCTATATTCAGTTTGTTTTCATTTGAAACTGTGTTTTAGTGACTTTGTTTTTCATGCTGATACAAATTTCAATAGAGGTTCTTCAGGTAATGTAACATGACGGGCAAGGGCATTGCAGGTAGCGAAACATGTCAGTGGGGGCGTGTGCAATTTTGAATCTGTGTATTTCTATTGGCGATTTCGTTCATGCCAGGACGTTTAGAGACTTTGAACGTGTGCGTTTCTGCGTACATTTGTGTAAACTGAATGTTGACCATCAAAAATCACATGACTATGATGTCATTCAAGGGAGAAACATTCAAACACTACAATAGTTTGGGCACAAAAACTACTGGATTTACAAAAATATCCTGCTGTTCTTTATTGTCTTTTATTCATCCCTAGCAGTCCTGAATCCTTCACCTGTTCGAGGACTGAGGACTGTTAGGGTTAATATTCATTGTCATATTAGTGCATGGCATGTCAATGAGCAACCCTCAGAAATATCTTCAATGAGCAAAAATGAAAGCCCATAAAATGAATACTGTTTCCAGTGAATGGCATCACAGCAAAAGTGCCCACGGTAGTCCAGAACTCCCAGACTTTTATGAAAAATTGGTATTAAGTACTCTGCAACTTTTTAATGTAATTTCTGTAATTGTCATTTTGATGTTGTTTTTTGCGTGTTTAATGTGTATTGTTCAGTATTCCTAATATTCATAAAACTTTAATAGAGAGACAACAACATGTACTTTTCTTGTTGGGGATTGACTAAAGTTTTATTTATCCAATTTAATCTATTCTAATCAAAAAGCATGGTCCGTTTTAAATGTTCCAAGAGGTGTGCTCCAAAAGGATGTAACATTAGTTTCATACATTGATGGCAAGCAAACAGCTGCACACAAAGGGCAGCTGTGACAAATGTACTTGTATGGACTTTTGAAAATACTCACTGCCAGCAAAAGGTCTCAGTACGGGTGGAGGATTGGGGGAGGCAGGGCAAGGAGTACATGTACAGGTATGCTATGCATGGTTAAAAAAATAAGCCACAAAGAAGTACAGAAACATGAGCGTAAAGCGTACAGACTCACATGTCATTGTTCAAGAGATACAGAGCAAGTAGTTTTGAGTACACTTCTGGAGTAGCAACGCCCCCTGGAGCCTGGCGATTGAAAACAAATACAAAAGAGGCATGGTAAATACGATGTACATGCATTTAGATTGAAAACAATGAGGACAAACATGATAAATGTAACTGTTGATCATTACTTATTTTTGAGTACTTGTGTTTGGTCTTGTGATGCCCTCAACTACACTACATAACCAATATCATGAAAGCAAGATCATTCTGCATGCTTGCCATGACCGTTTGTCAATCGCCACAGATCAGGGCAAATGGAGCGATTTTATTTTTACTGAAAAGTAGAACTTGATTAAATGTGAGAAAGGAAACTGACATACAGTACATTTTAGAAGGAAAACAATGGTACTGTTGGCTTCAAAAACTGGCATCTATCCATGATTTTCTCACATACGCTACTCTGGTGCTTCCTGTCAAGCAGCTAATCTGCTGCCCAAGTTTTGGAAGAGCCCATTGGTACATGTATCTTATCATTCAGTCTGTGTATATGTCTTAGCATGGAACAGCCGTCGAGACGATGAGGGGTCAAGTGATGTAATGTCCAACGACCTTATTTTAAAGATGGTGACTATGAGAGCGAGTGCGTGAGATTGAATGGATGAAGGCAAAAAGACTGGAAAATACCAAAACAACGTGAGTGAAATCATTCAATAAATGTCGCTAAGAAAGCGGAGAGGCTAAGGATCATCTCTGTGTGCAAAAGAATTTGCGCCCACGATGATAAGTGGGTGCGCCGAAAATGTTCAGTACGCCGACACAAAATTGTGTATACGGATGTGTGGCTAAGGATGGAGAGGGAGTGAGAGTCCGTGCCACACTAGTGGGGCTACATGTACGGTAGTCTTGTCATCCATGTCATAGAGGTGGAGCCTACACCTAGCCTACCGGCTTGTTGTCACACTACACAACATGCACTGAGCCTGTTTTGAGGGCGAAGCCAGAGAAAGAAAGGTACCCTTGGGAAGCATCCTAGCGGCAGATCCAAGTAAAAAGCTGAGTTACATTTGTTAGCGTACACATTTAACAATAAAACTGAGAAAAGGTACAAAGAGAAATATTTCACCTCTAATTCTATTGCTTCACATTGAACAAGCAGTTTCTCCGCGTCCAAGGCGGCCGCCATCTTGCTCTACTGGTATGCGGATTAATGGTACATTATTAGCAATTTGAGTAAATGCATACCAGCGAAGAAAACGGGATTCATCATTTTACAGTGGGGGAGATTAATTGGGAAATAATTATAGCGCTTACAAACTCCATGGAACTTAGTAACGCGCACTGCTTATCGAAGCCTGGCCAGCCTACTAGAAGGGGCGGGTCCACCTCGCCTTCGTACCAGAAGGCGGAGGTAGAAGATACTAGAGCAAGTTGTGCAGCTGTTTCCTTTTATTTTCGTTTCCCGTCAGTGATCAGTGGCAGCCTGAGTGATCTTATGGGGGAGAGGGAAAGTGAAAACTTCAAAGACGGGGGTGAAGGCGTGGGGACACGTTTTATGAGTCGTTGTAAGATTATACAAGGGAGCATGCTTAAAGTACTAGGGAAGTCCAGTTCCGTGTTTATATAGGCCTGTACGCAGTATTGATCGTGAGAGGAAAATTGTCTAACATTTGTTTCGGAATTTATTTTGGAATTTATACTTAATCAATAGTTGTTTTCATTTGCACCCACTGATTGACTGACTGAATTCAGTTTAACTGAATACCAGTATTTGTGATTTATCGATGGGTCTCATCGTGTCTTGTTTGGTTGGCTGGGTTAAAGTATAAGCCTATTTAAAATAATAATAATAATATAAGCTACCTTAGTCATGGTAAAGAATTACTGAGATCAGAACACTCTGTAGATAGGGACTAAATAATGAATTCCAATCATGATCAAAGTTCAAACCATAACATGCAAGATAATGGGAAAGACAAAACCTGTTCTCCATGGGATAACCAATCGATTTGGATAGGATCTTTAAGGGAAATAAAGTGATTTAATCATTACGCGACGCAGAAACTACACGAGTAACCGAGTCACTGTTTCCAAGAAATCTACTGCATGCACGTTTTCAGTGCATGCAATGTACAAGTGACATCCCTACCCGGAAATGGAACAGGACACCAGGTGTTTTGGGGATCTTCAACAAAACACAAAACCACGAACAAAGAGGGCTCGATGGCACGATTGTAACGCGAACGAACTTCCACATACACTGATCCTACGTCGAGCACGATGACAAAAGTTCACCAACCAAGTCGGAATGGATTCTCGGAACATCTCATTTTCCTCATAAAAATAAGGAGGGAATCGGGCAGAAAGGTAGGCTTTTTCGGACGGAAAACGATTCATTAAACCCTAAAGAAATGTTCTGGAGTAGAAGGTGTCAAGGGGCCGTCATATTTTGTACGAATAGCGGAAGTAATTTACACCGTTGAGATCTTGTCGTATCTTGAGCAAGATCTGTTCGTTTCATTACGGGGCCGTGTTGTACAAACTGCTTCATCAATACCAGTTGCCACATACACTGCACAGACGTATACAGGTACATGTACAGTACATCATTGTATTTAATTTGGCCAATGGATGCTTTGTGGTGCGATCAAAGATTTTGCGGAATGGTACGTGAAGGATTCGGATACTTGTGTGTGTAGTGAAGGACCAGCAGGCTAGTTACACTAAGCATGGAGGGCGGGGGGGGGGTTAAGCTGAGGTTCAGCATCCTACAAACCCACAAAATTTCTTGTAATGTACACTGTACATGTATATGATGCTAAGTGAAGCTCAAATTGAGACTGAGTACACATGTCATAATGATGCTCATTGCTTGTAGAATTCATTTTGCTCTCATCGGGAGTTAGGGGCCTATAATAAGTACCATTGTACAGATGTTATGGACATTTCTCATTTTCACTCATCCTTGTCAAGAGCTTTTCTGTTAAAGTCCATATTTGTGACAGTTATTAAAATTAGTGTCTTTCATTTTACTAGATGTTTGATTTATTTTTTAAAAATTGTACTGTCATTTACATGTACATTGCTGTCCGTCTGATTACCTTGTTGGTAATTTCAAATTGTTCTTACCTGTATTAAAACAATTGCTGAGGACCATGAATTAAAAAGTAAAAGTGATCGGCTGACGGGAGATTGTGCCACAGGATGGCCAATAGCGCAGTAATAATATGACCAATCTCTAATATCAACTAAATGTGCTGATCACTTGCATTGAAAGAGCCGAGACTTTCAAGCAAAGTGTAGTTTGGTTGCAGTGTATGGTGTCCTGAATAAGATATTATTAGGAGGAAGTTGGACTTGATTTTCACCAATTATCAAGAGGCATGGATGTTCCCCCACCAAATCAGAGTGTTTGGTGTCATGGCATAGAGATATTACCAGTAGGTTAAAGATGAGCAAACATGTACATGGCAAATAAAGTTTACAAATGAAATCGGGGAAAACATGCCCCCATGGCACAGGTTTATTAACAGGTTTGAATGGAGACAGAACACATCAGAGCAAGACCCAAAAAATGGGGGCTAAATTCCACGCCCCCTTTAAAAATCCAAGTTGGTTTTTTTTTCTCATGGGTTTTCATGGGATTTTCTTACACTGCTCCACGCATGCATGAAGTTATACACCATGTGCATGCATACACGTATGTATGTACTATTGTACATCAAAAGCCAGCATTGCCTGTTTACTTCCTTGGCATTAATAATGAATATTGACATTTTCAAATGGTATCATTGACCTTGTCTCCCAAAGTCATGCCTTTCATCTCACCCATGCTGAAAGAATCACCTTGTAAAGTTAATTTAGTGTACCATGACTTTGAGCTGTCAGTATTCATTCTATGCATATTCAACTTCCATCTACATGTATTCATGTTACATATGTAAATGTACCAAGAAAATAAAGAAATTTAACAAAATGCTGTGGCCACCAATATTTTAAAATGTTGGTGGCTGCTGCCACACCAAATGAAACCATAAAAGTTTGATGTGCATACCCGGACATGTACATGTAGGTACAGGTGCCTAATGTAAGTGTACACTTACTGATACTGTACAGTGCTTGTATGTGTGGTGCATGTGTTATGTAACAGGGAATTAATGCGTTCATATAATTATGCAGGTATACATGTACATGTACTTGCCACTTTGTGTATCCATCCTAATAATAATACCAACGGGATACACTGTAATTACGTCTGTACATACATGTACATGTGTGTACAATATAGCACAGTATGTGCATCTCATCGAAAAAGTTCATACATGTACAGTACATGTAAGTAAAGGCTCAGTAATAAACTGTACACCTGTTAATGACCCTGATGAGCAATTGTAGAGAGAATGGGCTGTTTCTGAATCATCACCACTGATATCCATCTCAAATCATGGAGCTATACGTACACTGTATGGTAGGATACCTCTGCTTTCATGTAGTTAATACAAGCTCACAGCCATTGCTTAGCACTACACATACTTTCTGTGGAATCTCTTACCACTCATCAGTCATTAGGCTTTCACTACGCCAAGCTTAATTATCCATGGGTATGGTCACTTACACTACAGTACATGTACTTGTACACGTACACGATGTATGCAAAATCCTGTTTGAGATGCATGTTTTGAAGGTTGGTTGAATATCCAGCACACTATTCATTGCTAAGTACCAGTAGAGCCTTGTGATACATACATGTACATCTGTCAAGAATTTGTAACTGACCTTTTTAGGATTGGAATGCACTCTTAGGATTTTGTCCCCATTTTGACAAAGTTTTAAAAAGAGGGCTTCCCAAAGGCCAGTCTTAAACATCTGTTTATGAATTGATCAGAAGAATGGATGCTGATAATGACCCAAGCTAAAGGCTTTATTCCCATCCGTTACTGTCTGAGTCAGAATACTATGATTTTGGTCAACATTCATTCCTCATTTTTCAAACACCCCTGTAGCCAAGCTATGGTACAGTACATGTATGAGTCAGTGCCACCCAGGTGGTGATCGTTAATCAGCCATTTTAAGACCAGCCACCGGACAGGCTCTCAGCCAGTACCTGTAGGAATGACCAGACTGTTTTGTAGGTATTAATGAATTTGGGTTTACTGTATTAAATGTGTTGATTTCTTTTTTATACAGCAATGATGATGAAAACAGTCCTAGAGTGCGATGACACCAATTCAGTGGACACCTTGCAGTCCTTTACCTCCATCGAGGATGACCGCGACAGTGTCAACTCCTCCAGCCCCAGCCCCGCCAAGAGCCGGTCGGGTGTTGTGACAGGTCGGGGCATCACCTTGGGCATGCTGATGGCAGATGGCATAGTGGAGTCTGGTGACGGCCTCCTCACCATCGACTACTTGGTAAGATGTTGAGATGTTTAAGTTGCCCACTGGTTAGGATGACTTGCTGATTTCTACATATTATCTGGCAAGCAATCTGTATTTTAAGTTGACGTTTAGTTTTTTTTTATTTTCGTGTCAAGAGTCCACAGGAATATAATAAATCGCCTTGAGTTGGCAATACATTCAACCTAACACATGTGCTTAAACAGTGTTCAGGTATTGGTAGTGATGGTCCCCACCTTGTTATTTTATTATAAGAAGTCATTTTGTTTTTTAAATGGATACTGATTTATCTTCCAAGATGGCTTCTACCTACAATGTACATACAGTACATTTTATCAGTTGGTCAAGTTCTACTTGTTTTTTTTGAAGGCTTCTGTAAAAAAAAATGCCTGTCTTATAAGGTAGGCCCACCGTGTACTCATACACTGTAACTGTCAATACATTTTGAATGTTTTAGGGGCGCAAGAGTTTTGCTTTGTCAGTTTGTGGGGCACTGTGCAGTTTCCTAGGAAAGCATTTTTGCAATAATTCTCTCTTTGTGGGTCCTCCCTTTTTACATTTTTGGGGGGTCTTTATTATCTTGCAGGGGAGGAAGTTCACAGCTGACTTGTTGGAGAGTGGCAAGATCAAATGGTCCGGCCATGAATTCAACTCACCCAGCGCCTGGGCAATCCACATCAAAAAACTGGTCAATCCTGCCAAGAAGTCGGGCTGCGGCTGGGCCTCGGTGAGTGGTCTCTTCTTCTCTTTCGATTCCAAGAATGAATAGTTATGAGTGAAGCGGTAAGAAGAGTTTCATATTGGGACAGATGGCATGTTCGGTTCCTCGAGGTTAAGATTTGTGAAATTAAACATTCTCTCACCAGGTACAATTATTCTTTGCTTTGCACAAATGTAAAGCATTCATTCTTTGTCTCATAAAATGCATGAAGAGAATCCCTAAGTCTCCGTTTTACTTTGTCAGCCCATCTTATGTCCAGAGCCATAGTGTACTCATTCCTTCTGCATGAACATATACGCACATTCTTTATCAGTGTGAAAAGCCATGACAACACTATTGCGCATATAGTTTAATGTACATTCGAATGGGTATATTCAGTGGTCACTGTTGAGGATACCAAAATAATGCCGGGAAATGATGAACCACTCAAATGGTTGAAAGTAATACACTGTCAGAGGTGTTTTAAATAACTTACGAGATGAATTGGGCTTGACTTGTGATGAGTTGTTGATAACTTTACTGTAAAGATGTCTAGCTCACAACTCAATACCAAATGCTGCAGTTGTTTCAGCCATGCTATAAGAATTAAACATCAATTTAGTACTGTGTTGGAACTTAAAATGTTTAGGTGAAACAGTACTTGTTTGCATCATTACTAACTTCTGGGAGTTTATTGTTTCTTTTTCTCTCCAAACCAAAGGTTAAATATAAGGGCAAGAAATTAGACCTTCTCAAGTCAACCTGGTTCAGTCAGATGAAGATCAACATGCCAGGCTTTGAAGACATGGTAGGTATTTCCTGAAGTCCGAGGAGCATTGCAGTGGGACAGAAGAAATCCTATGTTAGTGTCAAATGATTAAAGAATAATACCCA